AGATTTTCACTGTAGGGCGCGTGCGCTCGCCAGACAGACAGAGAGAGACATAGAGACAGAAAGCAAGAAATCACCCCCCAGGGGGGATGGTCACGCCGCAATCCCTTCTCCTCCATTCTCCTCTCGAGATCTTGGGCACACATGCACACGCGCCCGGCATGAGTTTTAAGCCACCGGGTCCGGGACACGAACCGCGGTCGACTACGTGGGAGTCCAGCGACATAGCCATTACACTAACTGCTGGTTCCCCCTAAAATAATTCTTAACAACAACAACAACAACAAAAATCTTCTAAGTCAGTTTTATGAGAAAATGTTTGTGATAAAACAAGGCTTTTAAAAGAGAATATCCAATGGGAGTGTCTAAGTATTTTAAATGCTAGAGGCAAAGTCAGAAGGATAAAACGAGGGCAGGAAACTATTTTGCAAACCTATGATCTATTTATGAAGATTTTTCATGTGTGCAGCAGTATTGGTAGAAGACCATGCCCCACGGAGATGTTTTTGTATAGAAATCCAGATCTGGTGCCAGCAGGTGGTGTGGTGGTGAAGGGTGCTGGACTCCCACATGGTCCACTGCTATTTGAAAGGGCGCATGCGCTCGCCAGACAGACAGAGAGAGACATAGAGACAGAAAGAGAGAAATCACCCCCCAGGGGGGATGGTCACGCCGCAATCCCTTCTCCTCCATTCTCCTCTCGGGATCTTGGGCACGCATGCACACGCGCCTGGCGTGAGTTTTAAACCACCGGGTCCGGGACACGAACCGCGGTTGACTACGTGGGAATCCAGCGACATAACCATTACGCTAACTGCTGGTTCCCCAATGAAATAATTCTTTTTGAAAGAGAGAAATCCAGATCCAATGTGTCATTACAAGGTAAAGGACTTACACAGATATGCTGAAACGACGCGTGACATTTCAAATGACTTTATAGCTGCATTTTAAACACCTGTTCTCTTAAGCGGTCTACAGTAGTTTCCAGCTCTAGCAAACGGACAGCGATTTGTTTGTCAGTATTTAATGGGATGCCCAACGCTTGCAGTAACAGTGAGTACCACTAGAACACTTGGAACGGGCTCACGTGAGACTACTTTGGGAAAAAAAAAATTCAGTAGCGCAAGGAAGTTGTATAGTAGGATCAGAAGGGTAGTGACAACCAGTCTGTTTGGGGAATAAGAAAATAGCAACAATTACACTGCCCTGTCATTTTTTAGTCTAGGGCAAGAGATTACACTTATTTAAGAGGCTGCTGTTGTTTGTAAGCAGCAAGCAAAAGTAACATTTGTCCACTCGCGTTTATGCCTGGTTTTCACGTAACACCAATTCTGGACATTTTCTTTTTCATAAAACCAGAGCTCTAAAAGTGATAAATCAAAAATTATCTGAGATATATAAGTTATGTAAGTAATATATTTTTGCTATTTTCCCAATAATTATTCCCCCTTTTTAAAAATCTGTGGACAGAAGTCTGACTACTTTTCCTATTTTCTAAAATCTTTTCAAAAGGGACTGGGGAAGTCATGCCACAAACATTAACAGACCATTTATTCTCCATTAACAGGACTCTTCCTCATCCTGTCCCTGGCATAGTATCTTTGAGATGCATATTTCAACCATTACAGTATATTCTTGTGCTTATCTCTTCCCAAGACACAGAACTTCCTTTTCCTTGAGATGTAGATTAAGCCTTTCTTTAATCTCTTAGGATCTTGGGCACGCACGCACACGCGCCCGGCGTGAGTTTTAAGCCACCGGGTCCGGGACATGAACCGCGGTCGACTACGTGGGAATCCAGCGACATAGCCATTACACTAACTGCTGGTTCCCTATTCATTCATTTTTTTAAATTTATTTTTTCTTTTTTTTGGAGAGAGAGAAATCCAGATCCAATGTGTCATTACAAGGTAAAGGACTTACACAGATATGCTGAAACGACGCGTGACATTTCAAATGACTTTATAGCTGCATTTTAAACACCTGTTCTCTTAAGCGGTCTACAGTAGTTTCCAGCTCTAGCAAACGGACAGCGATTTGTTTGTCAGTATTTAATGGGATGCCCAACGCTTGCAGTAACAGTGAGTACCACTAGAACACTTGGAACGGGCTCACGTGAGACTACTTTGGGAAAAAAAAAATTCAGTAGCGCAAGGAAGTTGTATAGTAGGATCAGAAGGGTAGTGACAACCAGTCTGTTTGGGGAATAAGAAAATAGCAACAATTACACTGCCCTGTCATTTTTTAGTCTAGGGCAAGAGATTACACTTATTTAAGAGGCTGCTGTTGTTTGTAAGCAGCAAGCAAAAGTAACATTTGTCCACTCGCGTTTATGCCTGGTTTTCACGTAACACCAATTCTGGACATTTTCTTTTTCATAAAACCAGAGCTCTAAAAGTGATAAATCAAAAATTATCTGAGATATATAAGTTATGTAAGTAATATATTTTTGCTATTTTCCCAATAATTATTCCCCCTTTTTAAAAATCTGTGGACAGAAGTCTGACTACTTTTCCTATTTTCTAAAATCTTTTCAAAAGGGACTGGGGAAGTCATGCCACAAACATTAACAGACCATTTATTCTCCATTAACAGGACTCTTCCTCATCCTGTCCCTGGCATAGTATCTTTGAGATGCATATTTCAACCATTACAGTATATTCTTGTGCTTATCTCTTCCCAAGACACAGAACTTCCTTTTCCTTGAGATGTAGATTAAGCCTTTCTTTAATCTCTTCCCAAGACATAGATCTTCCCTTCCAATCACCAACCTAGGAACTGTGGAACCCACCTATAACTTACAAGCCCCCCCAACCTCCCATCTCCCCTTCCACATGTTCCGCCTTTTTGGACGGGACCAATGGAAAATCTCTACACTAAATTTTGTCTGTCAATCCCAAAAACGAATAAAAGGAACCCCTGTACGTGATCACCCTGAGAAAGGCATGTATGCCTCTTCTCCGGGCCTAGGTCACTCATATTTGCTAGAAAATAAACCACATTAATTATTAATTATTAATTTTTACAGTTGGTTATTTTTCCGTTGACAAATCTTTTGAGTAGGGGTTGGGCCGTTTTATATAATGGAATGCTAGAACTAAACAGTGTTTAGTGGGAGCTCTGAAGACTCACAAAATAGTCTGAGGGGAAGCTGCAGGTGGGAACTGTGGAAGGCAAAAAGGAACTTTTAACAAGATTAGTATGTTGAAAGCGTCCTAATTTAATAAATTTAAGAACAGCATTAACATGTTTTGGAAGGAGTTAAGAGGGTATCCATACCTGCGTAAAGAGAAGCAAACCATTAGAGGCATAATTATTTAATGTAAAGCAGATAGGTGGGATTTAAGAAGTTTCTTGACAAGAATAATTAGCTTATTTACAGTGTTTCTTCAAGGGCTCTGACAGCCTGGGTACTTGTTAGAGTCTGTTCCACGGGAAGCAATCTTGAAACTGGGAATGACAGAACTGCAAACAGCGAGAACAAAGTATACAGACAGACAGACAACTAGTTGTTTTTATTATATATAGTATTTACAGACAATTATCTAATTTGTGACTAATGGCATTACATTTAGTTTAGTACAATTAGTTTAATTTATTACTATTTATTATTAGCACTATTTACTATGACTTAATATTTATTACTATTGGGACCAGCAGTTAGCATAATGGCTATGTCGCTGGACTCCCACATAGTCGACCACGGTTTGAGTCCCGGACCCGGTGGCTTAAACTCATGCCAGGTGCATGTGCGTGCGTGCCCAAGATCCTGAGAGGAGAATGGAGGAGAAGGGATTGCGGCGTGACCATTCCCCCTGGGGGTGATTTCTCGCTTTCTGTCTCTCTGTCTCTCTCTCTCTGTCTGGCGAGCACGTGTGCCCTATAGCAAAAACCTCTCCAAAAAAACAAAAAACAATATTTATTACTATTTATTATTTTATTATTATTCTTTTAATAGACTGGCATGTAATGCCCCAGCAAAGGCCATTAAGGTTGTGACTTTATACAGGGATGTCCCATGTTTTACAACCTTTAGACAATAATCTAATCCACTCCTTCTCTTGCTCCGTTAGCTCCCAATTTTACCGTAATCTCCTTCTACTCTTATCTCTTTCTCTACTTGATTTAGTCTCTATTTTACTCTCTAGGTTTCTTACCTTACTCAGTTATCTCCTGCCAGCCTCAAGGAGTGTCCATTCTCCTGACTCCTTATAGTTCCCCCATACTCAAGCCCC